TGAAACTAACAATAAATAAAAAAAAATAAATTAAAAAAAAAAAAAAAAGAAGTGAATGCCCAGGCTAAGTGGTACTCAGAAGGCCTGAAACATGATCTCTTCCATTGACGTCGCACATTTGCCGCTGTAGCCTGGGAGGGGCGTGGGACGAGCTACTGAAGAGAGGTGGGGAAGATCTGGATTGAGTGGAAGGTAGCAGCCACAGGATAAATGAAGATAATTAAAATTAAATCTTCCAAGACTCCATCGAAGCCCAAGAATACATTTCATCGGAAAAAAATATACCATTGACTAGAAAAAGAAAATCACGTACAGTATTTACAATAAAATTTGGAAAGAGATATGAGAAACCAGGTACAGTTCTCCCTGTCCTAGCTACCTTCATCCTCAGAAAAACGAAACATGAATGGCATACAGAATACTCACCCTTCAAACTAAAGTACTTAGACGTATAAAAACAAGTATCAGGTGAAGTGAGAAGGAACTAAAGGAAAATGAACCCACCTATATTGGAGCAATGTAAGTTCTTGATAGGGCTGCCACAGCAAGCATAGGGGATTAGGAAAGCAATGCCAAGGCAACCAAGCCAAAATATGAAACCAAAAAAAAAGGAAAAGTAAATATGTGCCTATAGACATGAAGAAATAACTTAAAAAATAATAATTTAAAGAGCCTGGCTCCCTTTATTCTTTTTTGCTTTCCTCAGCATTCCTATGCATATTCCATAGAACAGCCAGAGTGATCTTTTCAGGAAGTAAACCAGATTATATCTTGACACTATCCAGTGGCTTCTCATTGCAATTATAATAAAGTCCATATTCCACTCTGTGACATACCAGTCCCATATGCTGTGACCTCTGTCTACCGCTCCTACTTTATCTCAGATAATTTATCCTGTATGTACTATATTCTAGTCATTTTTGTCTTTTTATTATTCCTAAACAAAAGGTCTTTGTGGTTCTTATTTGTTGTTCAGTCATAGATCAAATGTTAACTTGTCAAAGAAGCCTTCCCAAAACAACTAATTTTGCCTTTTCTTATGCCCCACCTCTGAATGCCATTTCATCATCTTATTTATTTTAAAGCTATTTATGGTCTATCTCCTCCCACAGTGGAAGGTCTATGAGGACAGGAGTCTTCTTTGTCTACCATTGTATTGCCAGTTCCTTGATTAAAGCCAAGTATATAGTAGTAGGTGCTTTGAAAATTGAATTTTAATGAATAAATGAATTAGTTACAATGAAAGTGGCCATTAAAAGTGCTAAGAAAACAAATTGAGGATAAACAAAATAATTAAGGAATGAGTACATTATTATGTTTTCATATAATTCTTTTCATGTAATGATAACATCTTTTTTTTTTTTAAGTTAGTTTCAGGTGTACAGAACAATGCAATAGTTACCCTTTTCACCCTCACAAAGTAACAACCCCCCTCCCCCCATCCTAACATCTTTTTTTTTATTTTACTCTAGGTGTTTTTTTTAAACATTCAAGGAACGGTTATTTAAAATAACAGTATAACAACTTATGTCACAGAATGTTTGAAAGAATCCCATAAGTAAAACTAGTTCTTAAAACGTTGTTGTCCTCTAATAACTATAGTCCTGTGAACTAGGCTACATAATTTTACCAGTTATTCTGATTTTAAATTGTGTTCCTTTACTGAATGGTACCTACAGATTTATGATCAACTAAGTGTTTTTATAGTTTCTTAAACTGCTTTGTGTGCACAGCATTAGATATAGTGGGAAAAACAAAAAGAATATCAAAGATGTTTTTTATCATATCAGAGAGAGAAAACTTTACAGTATAAACAGTTAAGCAGTCAGTAGGCATATGTTTTTACTGATGTCCAGTCACCAAATCTTTTACATAAACTTGCAGTGAATAGTAACATAATGTTCCTCTATGTACCTGTCCGTTTCTTCATTATTACCTAACATGCACAAGATGTAACCAGTGTCGTGCCAATAATGGACATGCCTTGGCTTCATGTTCTGCCTCCTATTACATCCTAATAGCCCTGTCTATAATTTTTTCTGTTAACTATTAGAAGAACAAACTTTATTGTAAAGTTAAGGCCATATGATACGTAGGCAGGACCAACTCAAAATTCTGAATTGGCTTATGTGTAACTGTTGATTATAAACTTGAATACATT